TCGCCAATCTGAATTGTTAATGAGATGTTTGCGCCCCGAAACGGTTTTCAGGGGGTGCTTCAGAGCGGCTTCTTTGCACCACAGGAGTGGACTTTTGAGGGGTTATGAATTTTTTTCTTTTATTTGGGTGAAAATGGTGATTTTGACTTGATAAAATGTCAAAAGTGTCAAAACGTCTGATATTAATATGAATTTGTGGAGAGGGTTTGGTTTATGAAAATGTTTGGAAAATGTTTATTTTTAGGGTTGTTTATGGGGCGATTTGGTTGGTTAAAACGGTGTTTGATAGATAATTAAATTCTGAATCAGATATTAATTTTTAACTTTTAGTTTTGGTTTAATTTTTATGTTTAAATTGGTTGCAAAGTTGAAATTTGATATTTTTAAATGTATGTTTCAAGTCAGACTTTAAAAAATCATAAAAAATCGAATAAATGTGAAATTTGCAAAAATTGTAGTTTACTAAACAGAGAATCTATTTTTGTATGCATATTCACTGAGAGATACTAATTATCATTTATATTTAATGATTTATCTTAAATTTAATACAAGAATGCATAATTTTAAGCAAAAAATCGATTCATTATGCAAATTTATAACAATTGATTTTTTTAACAAGTAATTACAGCTCGATTTTCAAAATTCAAAAAACATCTTATAGACAATTAAATTCTCTATCAAACAGTATTTTTATTTTAGCAAATTTTATTATTTTTAATAGGTTTTAGAGCTGTCAAAGTCAAAATTAATTTAATTTTCAATTTTTCTGCTTTCAAACTTCAAAACGCTGTCAAAAATTGAAAAACAAACCAAAACTATCTTCAAATACAGCAATTGATAGTTTATATAATAACTAATAAAATACTTTTTGCAAAATTAATTTATCTTAAAAACTTTAGCAACAATATCAAAAACAAAATATTTTTGATAATTTTTATGTTTTTATTTTTACATGAGATTTATTGATTTGAATGTGTATTTTTCAGGTTGATGGTTAATGTTGAGACAATCCTGTTGATGAAATTAGGTGGCGTCACGCTGGCGGCGGCGGCAGTGCTCGTCATTTGTCACAAAAATGCATAGCTAACAAAGCGTCAAAACCGACGTTTACATTTCGCAGCGTTTCACTAACCAAGCGACCAAACTGTTGCGATTCACCCCTCGGGGGTGTTTTTGCATATGTATATATCCACCGCCACCGCCGCCACCGCCGCAGCTATCGTCGCGGCGCAAAAAGTTGGCTCGGCGCCTGCATTTCAATTAAAAATGTGCAAACATTAGCTCGTCATTTACGCGCGACGAAATTCCATAATTGATTGTGTTACTCACTAACTAGACTCGCCGCCCCCGCAAAACATCCGAAATATATCACAACGTAAACGTAAAAGAAGCAGAAAAAAAGCGTAAATTTGAAAAGGTAACATAACTCAAAGGCTCCACATCTGCATTTTTATCCTTTAAAAAAACAGGATAAATTCCACTACACTTTACACGCGGCAGACTCCCCTAGAGGGATTTTCTGCAACCCTGCAACCCCTCAGACGTTTTCGTTTTATTTTCCTCTTCTTTAAGGCTAATGAATAAGGCGTGCGCGCTTTTTACTTTGCCAAAGAATGATAGCGCCGGCTTTGTGCAATTATTAAAAGCAAGATGAGCAGCTAAGGGTGGTGAGTGGGAGGGGGATGGTTGGCAAGTGCCATAATCATCGTCTGGCTCGCAGAAAGCGCACTGCGGGCGCGAATGATCATTTAAACGTCTTAATAACTCACCGCTTTAATTTCCCGCCCGCAAACGCCAAGTCGGTCGCCGAAAAAGGATCTAATCATGTCTTAAGTAGAAAGCGCTTTCGTTAGGGCTGTATGGGTGGCGAGTTTTATGTTTTTATGTCTTTTAACTACGTTTTGTATAAGTTTTACGCGGTTTTAGTCAAGTTTCTAATAAATTTAATGTGAAATTTTCCTTTGGGTGATAAAATTGATATTTAAGGGGGTGTTTATTATCGGATTGACTTGAAATAAATTTTATTTGATTTGGAATTCAATTATCTTTTGAATGCTGTAAAACTTTGTAAATAATTTTAATGGGAAATATTTTTTATTAATTTTTAAAGTTGAAATTTGATTTGAGAAAATAAATTTAATAAAGATTGAAGTTTACGTGACGATTACTTCATCAATATTTATTATTTTTAAAAATTTTAAAATATTATGTGATAAATAATTTAATTGGCTATCAGTTGGCGTTAAAATTATTAAAATTCATTAATAAATACTCATAGTAATTAATATTTTACTCAAAAATGTTTTTTAAACGAATTTTTGCATTTAAACATCAATTAAACAATTAAAAACGCCAATTTTAAAAATTTTATTGATAATATTGATTAGACTAATTAATTCCTAACATATTCTCGTTTGATTTACAAAAATCTATTTATAAATACGTCTGTAAATTGATTTTTTCTTAAATTTTGAAAAATTTCAAATTAAAATTCCAACTCGTTTATCTCCTGCTGGAAACTCCTTAAAATTGATCGAAAATCCAATCCTACCTCGTACCCTAGATATTCACATTTCTCGTTACCTACGATTTGCACCCCCTCAACACCCTCGACGCATTCGCCACCCTGTTACACGTGTAAACATATGTGTTTCGCAAGTGTAATCGTTTTGCGGAAACGCGCGCGCGTTCGAGGGCGATTATCCCCGCAAAAAGAGGGGATGCGAAAAACCGCACAATCATTAAAATCTCCGAAACGACGCCGCCGTCGTTGCCGCCGCCAGCGATTGCATTACGTTTTCCATTTTCGCGCCGCGCGCGCCGCAGTTGAGGCGAAAAGGGTCACAGCACTCGTCGCACATTCGTTTCGGCCAATTTCCCTCCTAATGCGCGTTTATCGCCTCGGCATTAGTGAAAATCCCCAGCGGATGATTTGTCGTTTTGATGCCGTGCTAGCCACCAAACAAAATTTGCCCGTTACACTAACATACGATCAGTTATCGTATTTTGTGGTTGCGGTTTTGAGGTTAGAAATGGTAGTTCTTTAAAATTTGGGATTTAAAAATCGGGAAATTAAAGTCAAATTCTTAAAAATTTAAGCTTACAAATAAAATTTAGATAATTTTAATTTATATTTTGTTAATTATTGATAAAATAATTCAAAAAAATTGAGTAAATTTGTGTAAAGAAACATGAAAATTCAACTTTAACCTCAATTATCACCCCTTTAACCTTAAAAATTTTAATGTTTTCAAATCACAATTGATAACCACGTTAATTATCAATAAGATTTTGTTTAAAAAATCATTTTTAACAAATAAACACAGCCTGGACATTAATTTATTCAAAATATTCCCAAAAAAAATAATCAAATTTTGAGTCCTGACTTGAAACCACTTGTCGTCGCAGGGATCTTGGCGAATAAAAGCAAAATTAGTCATTGACAATGAATGCCAGCGCCGTCAGTTGGAAGATTTATAGATTCTATAAAACAAACAATTGAATTCCCCGCGACGCGCCCGACGACTTTTGCCGTTTCTGTTTCTTCTGCTGCTTCTGCTGCAGCGCGCAAGTATTTTTATGGCCCTCTCGCGCAGCGGAAGGACTGAAGGATATATTACTTTCATTTCGGCAAACCGCCGATATCGACGAGCGCCCATAGCGAAGGGGGAATAATTAATTGCGCGCCGAAATTAAAAACGCGAAGATTGTGTTATTGCGATCGAATGTAGATTTGTCACGGGAAACCTGCGCAATCATTGCGGCAAATTGCGGTCAAGAGAGAATGAAAGAAGGCCAATAACGAGGGGGAACACGTTGGCATACAATGTGTTCAGGACTATCAAAAAATTAACCTTAAAATTTGTAAAATGTGATTTTTTATATTAAAAATGTGTTTTGGAGAGTAATTATTATCCGATTTACTTGATTTAAACTTTAAATGAAAGATAATTAAATTATCTATCGATCCACGCATTGATATTTATGTATTTCATTGTTAAAATACCCATAAACTGCCGATAAAGTTAAAATTTCAAATAAAAATGTGTTTTGGGGAGTAATTATGAACCGATTAACTTGATTTATACTTTAAATGAAAGATAATTAAATTATCTATCGATCAACGTATAGATATTTATGAATTTCATTGTTAAAATAACCTTAAACTGCCGATAAAGTTAAAATTTCAGAAAAAAAAGTTTTTTTTAAACCTCAAAAAACACCCTGTATAACAATTAACCCTCAATTAAATCTCATTTAAAACATATTTAACTAAAAACAAACTCCACCCTTTTAAATAAATAAGAATTAAAGCTTTATACGCGCATGTTTTCATAAAAACATAAAATATCCCCATATAGGCAACCAAGCATACATATTTTATTATTTCCCATTCAATATATTTCCTTGGACGCTCATAAAACTTTAAGTTCCAAAACCTAAAGTCTAAAGTATTGCCGAATGTTGTTGAGCCATGTGAACGCAGCCGTCGCCCGTCGAATGCGTTTCAATTGTTTTTCTCCAACTCGAAACTCTTCGCCATGAGTAATGCGCGCAAGTAAAACAAACAAAAGCGATGATGATCCCGGCGTCCGCACCCTTTGTATCTTTATCCACGCGCGTCGCCTTTGACATGTTATACGCGCTCGAAACCCGAAACGGAAGGAAAGCTGCGGCCACCTGGCCAATACTCAACTGGCTTTTGTTTATTCCTCTCAAAATAAACACATTCCGATGAATTGTTCCAGTATTCCACGAATTAATACAATATTTTTACTTATTTAAAACTAGCTTTAACCCGCGGCTTCGCTCGCGTTGAATCCATCAAATATTATTTTATTTAAAAATTTTTTTATTAAATAAAAAGTAGCCTATAACCATTCGGGGACCACTAAGAATATGTGTACAAATTTTCATGATGATCGGTTAAGTAGTTTTTGCGTGAAAGTGTAACAAACATCAGGACTTTCGCATTTATAATATTAGTAGGGATTACTTACGTCTGAATCGTCCATCATCGTGCATAATCGGTGAATCCGTATCCGTTGCACGTCCATGTGACCCACCATCGCCATCCTCAGACATTTGCGCATCCATACTCTCCTCCTTGACTCGTTCACCGCCACCACCCACAGTGCTATCTCTCCCGCCACCTCCACTGCCGCCTCCTCCACCCCCGGAGACCAAGGATTGTGGCTGTGGGGACATTGAAGCACTCGCAGGCGAACATGAATCTGTCCTTGGACTTGGTCCTAGAAAGCGTTCATCCGTCGGTGAGAAAATGCTGCCATGTCCGACGCCGCCTCCGCCTTGCGAGTGTACACCCCCGTGGCCGTCGCCACCCGTTTCTATTTTCAGACATTTAGGTGGTGCAAATGCTGATGGTGACGGGAAAGCTTTCAAATCTGCGATGGGTCGGAATGCTCCGGAGCCTAGTGAGAGGCCTGGATGGAGGAACTGCGGCTGGAGGTGGTTGAGGATATGGGCGGGCAGGGCTCCGTAGGCTTCCATGTGTCGCAGGCCAAAGTTGGACACTGAGAAGGGGCGGTGGAGGTCTTTTGTTGCGTCAGACATTTGAAACTGTGAATAAAATTTAATAAAATTAGTTTTAATTAGTAGATAAATAAATTAAATAATGTTTTGTTTGTATTATTGTATTAATAGGCAATTAATTCAATAATAAATCCAAAAAATACTTCGTTATAATAAATAAATATGAATGATTGCTTTTTATGAGTAGCTTTCAAAGAAATGTAAAATATTAACATATAGGCAACCAAGCATACATATTTTATTATATCCCAATTATAATAATTCAATTTTAGGTTAGATCAGGTAGGTATTTAGGCAATATTTATGCATCTGCATATAAAAAATATTTGGTAACGCAATATCCAGCCATTTTTATTTCTTTTTGTCTTAAATTTTAGATTTTCAAGTTGTAAAACGTTTTTTTTTAAATTTATACCTATTTAGTTGGCTACTCTGGTTACTGTATATGAGCCCTAACCTTAAATAATTCATAAAAAATAAATTAAAATAAAATATTTTGTATAAACTAATGTTTATATGTTGTTTTTACTTAATATTAGCTTTAAAATAAGCGAAAATTGAATAGATACGTGTAGATATATTCTAGGGATTTTTTCTTGTCACGATAGTGACAAAATTTGACAGTTCTCAAAATAGGTTAGTCAATAATTGACATTTTGCATTTTTTGAGGTTAAAATCATCTTTTAAAGTTATGTCTCTTCTTAAATTTAACTGGGTCAAATTTTATCCAATCTATTAGGTAATAAGAATATTTATCACAAACGTGCTTACACTGAAAATAAAGAACTGCAAGCATGCAAAAGCATAAACTGACAACAATACATTCATTGTTTTCTCTCCCTTCCTAATTAAATCCAAATAAATTAAACTACTACAGAGTGTTATTTTGTGTAATAATTTCTTTTGTATTTTTTAATATTTTTCAATATTTTTTTTACTAGATTTAAATTCTATTGTTTTTTTTAGAAATATTAGATTTTGATCACTAGCAGACGTTTTTTATCGCCTCGATTAATATCAATTTGCGTGTGTTTTACACCATTTTACATCCCTTGAACTTTTAGATGCTTTTTTGGCCACGTTTTGAATACAAAGCACAGATTATACCCTACGCACGCAGTTTTGTATAAAATCACCTGTGGATTGAAGGGCCTCTGAATGCGGAGCGCGTCCTGTAGTCCGCTCGCCGCCTGTGAAAATACCACCAGCGCCGGTGAGCTCAAATGGCTCGCATTTGGCACATACGCTGAATTTTCCATAATTAAATTTGATTATTGGCAAAAACTAAATTTATAAACACACTTAACACTAAATTTAATTATTTTCCTAATTGTCTTGTTAAAATAGTTCACTAAATCACTTATATCACCGTTAATTATCGCGAAAAGTCAATTGTCGTTTAGTATTTCGTATTGTATCGTAGGATCATGAATCGTGACGTGACGATGCTACACCATCAACCGTCAGGCGATTACTGACTACTGCTTTGCTTCTCTTTGAGTGTAAACCCCACCTTTATTGTCCGCCCTTTGAGAGAGAAACGTTGTGCGTGCGCATCACGTGTGTTTTGGTGCCACCCTTTTCGTTACGCCTACTGTTTTGGTTTCCTTTTAGCTTCATGAATGTGTGTTTCTCCGACTCACTTGTTTATATGCTATTTGGTTCGTGCTGCTTTTTAGCTGGTAGACTGTTTAAGAGAGGGAGAAGAGGCGAGGCTATGTTTTAGCGAATCATAACCCGAAATTGATGCTATTGGTGACCTAAAATTAGATTCTCTACTCTTTGAAAGTGTTTTGTGGGTCGTTGTAGGTCGGTAGCGACATCTGGTAGCAGTTACTATGTTTTAAACCGTTTTGATGTAGAAAATTGTAATTGTCAAATATTTCTTCATTATTAATCAAGGGATTTATATGATTATCGTGGATAACAGTACGAATATGTTAGAAATTATGAACTTTGATGAATATCAATGCAAGATTGAAGGAAAAATATTGTTTCTGTGGCAGAAAGAACACTTTAACTTAAAATTAGTTTTCAGTTCAAAATAAAATTCAAATTAGCCAGTATTTCGGTATAATACTCATTATTAATAACTTAGTGTTCAATATTGACTATAATACTGCTTTTACGTACAAAAACGTTTTATATGTCAGTCCAGTAATTTATTACGTTAGTGATACTAATATATTTATATTTATTTAATAAATATAATTATGGATTACGTACTCAACGAAGCAGATAAATAAAAGTCGATTTGTACATTTAATTGGTGTGAACGAATTTGATACTGAATAGTACCAGAGTGAATATATAAAAAAAGTAGATGTCGCTACCCAGCAGCAAGTCACCATCATCACAAACGTCAGAAAAGAGTCGGGAACGTCAGAAACACCGAATGCTACGTTGATTCCGCCGATTCCGGCAAACTCATCAAACGGAACTCTCTTAAGTTCCCCTGCATCTGCCCAAATACTACCAATTTTCAACAAATTCCTCCATTCGGAACTTTACAGGGGTCCTATCCACATGAACACAAAGGTAATAAACACCCCAATCAAGACAATCACAGTAAGTAACCTATTCGGAATTTCTTTTTTAGTCATCATAATCACAGTCACAATCATTTTCAATCATGAGCGGAATAAAATCCAGCCAGTCCGAGCGAACGTCCATCCACGAAATGCTCAAAGAAGCTTCTGACTCCACAGAAACAAACAACACAAAAAACTCCACTCATGAGTCAACCACCACAAGCAGTGCGCCCAAACTGGCCAGTATACCAAACAGCACCAGTTCCCCAGCAATCATGGCTGCAGCCAACGGTCAAGGCGGCCAGGAGACGTCCACAATCTACCGCAGTCAGTCCCGGATAGAATTGCTCAAGAACTGGTCCATATCTGCTTACAAATGCACCAAGCAGCTGATGTTTGAAAAGCTTGGCAAATCATCGAGGACAGTTGATACTGAACTTGAGTCTCAGATTGAGTGCTTGAGAGACACCCAGAAGAAATACGCGAATGTGCTTAGATTAGCGCGGGGGTTAACGAATCATTTTTATAACGTCGTTCAAACTCAAGTAAGCAAATACCTAATCAATAAATATTAAAAATAAATACTTATTTTTGTTCACAGCATGCCTTAGGCGAAGCTTTTTCGGAATTAGCACAAAAATCCCCCGAGTTACAAGAAGAGTTCATGTACAACTCGGAAACGCAGCGAAATCTGACGAAAAACGGCGAAACTCTTCTCGGCGCTCTCAATTTCTTCACATCTTCAGTGAGCACGCTCTGCAACAAAACAATGGAAGATACAATGCAGAGTGTTAAGCAGTATGAGGCCGCACGTATCGAATATGATGCTTATCGTTCGGATTTGGAGACGATGACAGGCCGTGGCGATGGTACAGTTGACTTGGAGGATGCGCAGGCTGGATACGAACGTCACCGGCAGCATTTTATGAAACTGCGCGCTGAGGTGGCTGTTAAGTTGAAATTCCTCGATGAGAATCGCATCAAGGTGATGCACAAACAGCTGCTGTTGTTCCACAACGCTGTATCGGCGTACTTTTCGGGTAATCAAGCCGCGCTGGATGCTACGCTGAAGCAGTTCAATATTAAGGTGAAGACGCAGAGCTCCATGATCACGTCGTGGATAGAACAATAACGAGCAGGGGCTGAAGCTGCGAGGTTCATTTGATTTCTAGTCATTCCGAAGATGTGAAGATGAGAAGGTTTTTTATTGATTTATTTATGTCGACCTAGTGGTAAGTTTTTTTTTTAAATATTGGTTTAACTATTTATTTGTGATTTTGTCTGATGATGACGACTGGGATCAGTGGAAGTATTCGACGGTTTTTCGACGCTTTTATACTTATACGAGGCTTTAATTTGTTTGTGTTTGTTTTGTAAGTGTACTTGTAATATGTAACTGGTACGACTAGTACTAACCACCGCATTGATTCGTATTAAACTTAACACGATTACTAGTTATTTTGTTTAGAAATCTCCCAAAAATTGCATTTTGGTAGGTAATTGAGTTTGAAATTGAGTTTTCATCGCGCGTTTCTCCATAAAACATAATTTAAGAGAAATAACCTCAAATTTTCTAGTGAGATTATTACTACCTTTACTTGGGATCACTTACATACACATTTTAAATCAATTATATATCATATAGATTAAATAAGTTAGTATTACCATTACCAAATGCCAATTAGACATTGTTGATGTTGATGAGTAGCTTTTCCCACTCGATGGTGACATTGAACACTTCTTCCTCCAGCCATTGTGCATAGTGCTTCTTAAAACTATCGGATAATTCGTGTCGACTACCCAACACGCTGCTGAGACAATTATCCACTGGTTCGAAATCAGCGTCTTTCAACTTATTCGTATAACGACGATTATTGAAGCGATCCACAGACGTGCGCAGTGCGCATTCTTCTGCTTGGAAATCCCACGGGCGCGCGTCCAAATCTATCACATTTAGATGTAAAAACCAAGCTAATAGTTTTATATAACTTCTAGAACTTACCGTTTCCAAATGCCCAGTCATCATTGAGTCTATGGCGGACTTTGGCGTAGATGGCGCTGATGGTTTTCATATTGGATTTACGCCATTGTCGGCCCAAGTATTTAGTTTGCATTTTTAAAAGTTTCAGGACATATAGTTGTGTCATGGCATGGCGAACTTTTAAAGTACGTTTTAATATAGGTGCCGATTTGAATACAACCAACATCTAACGATTTTTTAAATTAAATTTTAATAATTATCATCAAGAAGTTGAGATATACTCACCATGATTCTAGAATGTTTCCATTTTGTTAGCTTGTTCAAAATGCGCAGTAAATTGATGCAGGAGAATACATTCCGCCAGGAATATGGTGCGGCATCACCAATTTCAAGACTTTCCGCTGTTAACTCCGGCTGGTCTCCGATTACACACGATGGGAAGTCCAAAATTGGAATCCTAACATAAAATAATATCAGTTTATCTTAAAAATACACAGCGCCATCTTGAACTTACATATTTTTCGCGCCGACGTACGCCATGATGTTCTGATTGAAGAATTTCAACACCAGCGGGATGCAATTGGCAAAAACGAGATGTTGTGACATGAACTCAAACTGATACACATGATTTAGTTTGAAATGTTTAAGCAGCAACAGCAAAATACCAGAAACTGCTTTAACGATAATCTCTTTGTGGCGATTCAAATCAATTCCCAACTTCATTGACTGCAAGACGGTCATTCTAAACACATAAAAACAAAATAAGTAAATATATACTATTTATAAACATTTATACATACGGCATTTCTTCCGGAAGAACATCCGCCATGATATTAATCGAATCGGTCTTTGCCTTGCTCGTGGGCGCTGCAGCAAGAAGAATCTTCAAGAGAGCGATCATATACTGCGGTAGATTTGGCAGCATCGCTTGATACAGTGCCTCAGTCGGCGTAGCTTCAATTTCATACTCCTTGGTAGATAAAGGATTCCTTGCTATTTCTTCCTCGCGAACGATTTGCAGCTCGCTTAGGGAGACGTACATATGCTCCTTGAGGGTTTTCACACCGTCAGCGATGGGTTTAGGTAAACCAGCGAGACTGTCCCGATCACCTGGTAGAGTATACCCTACGAATTTCATGCGAGCTGTTTCAAGAAACGCATCGATATCCTTCTGGCGGACTTTTGGTTTCCACGGCAAGCCGCGATTCTCTGGGATTGCCAGCGGCGGCGGTGTGCATGCACGGTTTTGAAAGTTGTTGAATCCGTTGATGCCGCTGTTATCCCCGGCGTTGTCCAGAGGGCGCCGTTCGTCATATTCAGAGAGTTCGACGACTTCATCGCCATTGTTCATGCCCATACCGGCTTCCAGTTCCATACCGAGTGTTTCATGATCATCCAGAGAGCTTTGTTTCATTAGTGACTAAATATTTAATTTATAAAATGTTTCAGTGGTTTTATTAAATTAATATAATAATTTTTATTTACTTACTCTACGAAATGGACGATTATTCCGTTTGATGTTCTGAGTATCCAATAAATCAGTAGCACTCACAGGCGGTGAGGAAGCCCGCATTGTCCTTGCAATATCCATAGTATCCTCATCCTGCGGCGGTAAACCATGCGCGGCTCTTTTCTGACGTTTTAACTCCTTGAGGACATCCATGCCACCTAGCGACACCAAAATCAACTTCCACAACAGTAGTAATACCTTTTTCATTGGGAAATGCAATGCAGCACCACCGCAAAATCGTGTCACCATTCCTAAATAAATCAATAAATCAAACACAAATTTACACAATTAATCTAATAATAATAAAATGCAGAAAATTATAATACCTAATAATTTAATGACAAGTAACTCATCACTGGAGTCACTTATCTCCTGACAGAAAGATTCGACCTGTTCTGCATATGGTGAAGCTTCGCCCAAGTTCTTCTCACTGCGCATCATCTCAGTAATCATATACAAAACACTCAGGATAACTCGCAAGTCTTGTGAATCAGCTAGCGATACAGCTAATTTACGCATCGCGACATGCGCAGCTGCATTATTTCTTTAAAAATTCACAAAAATTAAACAAAATTCACAAATAATTAAAAAACAAAAGTAAAATATTGCAACTTACTCAATTTCTATGTTTAATAACTCTGTGAAAGCACTAAACACACCCTGGTTGTACAATAACATGCAGTTGCTTCTTGACCACTGTTGTTGTTCTGCATCAGACTGCATCTCTGCCCAACAACCTTGTGCAATGTATAAAATACATCTGGCTGCTCGCATTCTCAATGGCTTGCTGGCAACCTCCAGCTGATCTAATAGTTTCATTACTACACTTGCATGCTGTGCAGAGGTGAGTTTCTGCCAGGATGGTGGCAGGTCATACTGCTCCATTTGGTCCTCAAATGCTTTGACATTCTGTTGTAACTCTGGATGTTCTGTGTAGCTGTACAGCTCTGAGATTTCATTTGATAAGGTGTCACAGTCATTGTATATGAAGTCCAGATCAAGTGATTCTATACCCTGTTTAGAATTAAAAGATTTTAGACTGTTTATATTAATATCTATTGTTATTATTATTGATTTGTAAGTTTTATGCATAACCTATTAGGTGTATAGTTTATTTTTAATTTTTTGTATGTATTTATTGTTTCTTACACAATAATCTTGATTGGATTTGTTGTTATCGCCCATGTTGGACATCATCAAGTAATCCATCAGTAGTTTTTCTTTCGTCGATTAATCGACAGGCTTTTTCCACAAAATTGATGCACAAGTCGTTTTTTTTACCAGAAGACTCCCATTTCTCGTGTTGGATTAACCGGGCAGTATAATTCAACACATTTCAGGTAAAAAGTATGTTGTTATCACTTTAATTAACTAATTTATTGATGATTTTGGTACTGGTGCTTTTGTTACAAGTTTACTATTTTTACTAATCAATTGTCAAATGTTATGTATACTAGGTTGCATATGTTAGAATTAAGGTTTTATATTATAAATTACATATATTCATGCAACCACAATGATAAAAACTTATTATCATGAAGAAGAAAATAGTTTACGTATAATTTTTTATTTTGTACATTATGTTTCAACTTAAATTTATTTAACTTGTTCTAAATAAAGTGCTGCTAACGCCCTCACTAGCAACCGGTAAAATTACCACTGACAGCTGTCACTTCCCAAGGTGAATTTTTACAACGAATGAAATCAATTTCAAGCGCATTCGCTCCGAAAACGCCGGGGAGACGCAACGCTCGCACGCACAGAACAAGTTAGAAGCATTGAAAGAGTTGTGCGACGCGAGTTTCGGTTGCAAGTGGGAACAAGTCGCAATTCAAGGCTTGTTTGAATAAGGTGTGTTCGTTTGTTTTGATTCGCCCGTGTGTCGTGCGTGCTCAGACAATCAACAAAAATCAGGTAAGAGTCAAATTCGCTCGGTATCTCGTTCGCTTTTGTCGAGTTTCACGCGGAAAATCATTTCCATCGCAACCTGTTACATTGATTATTTGACATTCGTGTGCGTAGGTTGTATTTTCACCTATCGCATTTGGTAATCAAGGAATTCGTAACGAAACACCAGGGAAAAACAATCCAATATAACACTTTAAACAACTGACAAAAGTTTTTATAAACATTTTTCAGAATATTACCGAAACTAAACGCGTTAGATTCATGATTTTTTCATAAATTGATTCTCTGTTAAATTCTGTATAAAATATAATAAATTTTATATTTGTAATGTAGTTACTTCTAGAGTTATACGAAATTTAAATCCAAGTTGTTATAAATTTTTCACTTCCAGTCTCATATTTTGTTTAAAAGTTATTAAGTAATATGTAACATGAAGATTGCATGAATGGCTCACCTTTGACTTTATTATATTACGTGCGCGACACTGATGCTATCATCGTTTTAATTGAACGTTTTATCAAGCGGCTCATGCTCATAGAGTGCAAGTTCTGCGACATTGAAACGTTCAGCCGATTGAGTCACCATATATTCATTTTTTTCTATCTAGCATAACATTCCCATGTACGTAATCGTTTGCTTTGTCTTTAGGCGTTGACCAACGAAGAGAAACCGTCACAATGGATATGAACTTTTCGGTTTTTCAGGAGCCCAGAGGCGTTATGCGCATTCTGCAATTCGTAAGTGTCCTAAATCTAATTTTAAGTGTTGTTCGTATATTTCTAATTTTAATTTTATTTGTGTTGACGCTATACATAGATCTTTGCGATTTGCGCGTTTGCAACAACGTGTAACTTCAGCGGTTTCATCGACTTCATGTGCCGGACCCCTTTCCGGTACAATTTCGATTATCCCTTCAGTCTGCTGCTCAACAAGGAGTTGAATTTGGTGGAGAAGGCCGACTGCCATGCGAGGATCACTCTGTCTGCAAACTTCGAATCGGATGTGAAGTTTTTCGTCGCCACTGGTGTGATTGCAATGCTGTATTGCCTTGCGATTTGTGTCGTTTATACCAAGTTTGATGAGCTGTACAAGAACAATAATCAAATACCTTTAGTTGTATGTATTTTTCGTTATTTTTTAGTGGTAATATTATAGCAGAATATTTAGTTTTAATGAAATTTGTTTTAGGACTTTCTTTTGTCTGTTTTTATTGCTGTCTTGTGGCTGTCAAGCAGCGCTTGTTGGGCAAACAGTCTTTCCGGCATGAAACACACAACTGATCCGGAGAATATGATTTGGACGGGTAATACTGACGCCTGCCCAAAGTGTCCCTCCAGCGTCAGCAGCTTTAATTCGTTGAACATTTCTGTTGTAAGTAATTTTTTGCAATTTATTATATTTAAATTTAATTATTTTGAAAAATTGCCATTTTACACTTGTTTTATGAACTTAATCATATTTTATCCTCTTTTTTTTAGATTTTGGGCTTTTTGAACTTTTTCCTCTGGGCAGCTGACCTCTGGTTCCTCTACAAGGAAACCCCGTGGTTCCAGAACGCACGCATATCCTCTCCAGTTGACGCCTAGACGCCTAGCATCTTCCAAGCGCACAGCCAGCAAACACACTAGTTTGCAGCCACGACATAAAATACAAACCTCACACAATAAGATGAAACAATAACAAATAACATAAAATTGCCGCTGTATAGTGTATACCTTTGCTCAAATAGCCGCGCTTTGAGCATCTGGGGAAGCAGGAATTCTATAGCAATCATATATATTCTAACAATTAGTTGTAGGTGTTAATCAGGTGTTAATCCGTTAATCTGAACTTGTATATCAATGTTTGAACCTGGGTCGCAGAGATATACACACATATTTAGACCCTTACGTCGTAACACATATCGAATGCGCAAATCTTATTTATTTAGTGATTTTAGAGTGGTATTTTTGATTTTCGATTCTCAAACACGTTTAGACTGCCAAGTAGTAGTGTTTACATCGTATGATGTGTTAGGCGAGTTGTATTTTAATTTGTTAAAGAAACACATACACACGAAACAAATGGGAACACAAACTAAAATATACAGGGAATGATGGAACGAAGGGCACAAAGGGCTTAAAACCGTCGATACTTACTGCATTCCATGCGAACTTATTTATAGCTTGCGCATCTTCAACTAATTTTATGTTTTATTCATTGTGTGAGATCGATGACATATCATCGCATCATATCAATTTGCAAAGAGTTTGTGTCATGTTTATTCATTCATTAAGGGATTGTTGAACTTAGTTTTATAAGTTTGTTTGTGTTTGCATAAGCTAACACCATACTGTACTGTTAATTTGTTGTCGCTTTTTGACCTAACACTATTAAGGATTTAATCGTTTGCGATGAGAGAAAATGCGGAAGCGCTGATAGTGATGTACGACACACACTACACTTTATCGCATATGTAACTGATACTGAAATCAGATCTGAATTACACATAATCAATCTGTGTCAATATTTACAGTGTATCGTACTGTTGAACTTAATCAATACGGAAATGATGCCAAAACACACGGATAAATATTTTTTGATCACTGTCAAAATACTTTTAAAATTGTGAAACAATTTACACACGTATACAAGACATTGGCGACACGTATTTATTTTTGTGAAGCAAGTTTTCTACCGACTTTATTTTGTTAACAATGTATTCTTAATAAAGTACCTTCAAACATACAGGTTTTTTGAATTTTTTTAGTTCAAGAATTATAGTTTTTCCTCTACTGTTGTACCTAATCTTCTCTTTCTGTGAACTTGTGATCCAAAAACTAATTGTCTTATTTTAAGTGTTTTAATGCAGCTATAAACTTAAGAAATGTTTGCCAATTTGCCTAATTTGATTTTCCTGCTCAGTTGGCATCGCTTGCATGTCCTGAATCATGAAAATCACTTCCACACACTATTTTGAACCTTTAAAGGGAAGCAGGGCTACCGAGGTTCCTAGCTAATATCTGTATTACATTATAATGCAGGTAGACATGCATAGGAATGCCAATATTTAGCGATATTGATGTTTTTCGGTAAAATTGAGCTGGCTCCAGTAACATGATCTTCCGGCAATATTTGACAATCAGCTGATCGGCAGTGTTGCCGGTCTTATGACTTAAGCTAGTAGTCCTTTTGCTCCTCAACATTCTGCGATCCTAATATCAGAAAGTATTTTGTTATAAATTTCATCTCAATAACTTGTCGCGGAATTTGCATAGAATTCCCGCCAGATACATTATTTTAATTCGTTTCGGTCCAAATTCAATTTTAATAATAAGAATTTTTCAATTATGTTGTGGGATTCTGAATTTTAAATCAATCTTCAGGAGATGTTTCTGAAGATGCTCTCAGGGCGAAACATGTCAAAACTCAACAAAATTTGTAAGCAAATCACGTTTTAATTTTATTCAATAAATATATTTTTAAATATATACAAAAAATTATATATCTTGTACCAATTGAGCAAATCACAAGATCTTGTGCTAATATGATACTTAAGAGTTCCTTAATAGCTAGCGCATCTTCTCGACCCTTTCAACCTTCTACAAGTATCCTTAAAATAGCTTACAAATCAACATTATTTACACAATTAACAAAATTGGCTTAGGTAACAGCCTGTATCTTGTGAACTAATACAAATGTTATAGTTAAAGAGACGCTCTATATGTTAATTGACAATATGTCTTGCATACAAAAGTGGAAACACGTGAGAGTATTAATTATTGATTATATTAGTCTAAATTGTGGGACTAGTATCTGTCGCATTCATAGATGGCACTAGGATGCACTAAAAATCGTAAAATCGAGTTATACGGCTTATTTTTATATTTATCGACAAACGTGAGCTCGAGAATATTTTTGTATTCAATGCTGTTATCTGCGATTCGGGATAAACAACTTTTTTATCGCATGTGTTCCGCGCGCTGTCTCCTAGCGCTGCTTCAACTTGCTGCATGCAGCGAAGTCTAGTTTAGTTTAGATCACAGGTAATGTGCCTATTGCAATACGCAAGGTCGCGTGCCATCGACGCGTTGGATTTGCGCACTTCTTGCTTTCTTATCATATACTGTCCCGTCGTTGTTTACGCATTTTCGGCATGCACTATCGGTGGATTGCATCCAGTTTCGTGCCGGTCGCTGATTAATCATGTCGTGTTTAGAGAGACTTATATCGTTTATTCAGACTTCAATATTCCAAATTTGTGTTATACTCGAATATCAATCGACTATTTATTTGTAATTTGCGACTATAGTAATTTGTTTAATGTTTGGAAATGCCGGTTTTTGATCGCGTTTGTAATGTATATTACAAGTCACGTGATAGTGGATTTGATAACATTCTTCTCTCGGCGTTGTGTTTTGTGTCGGTTACTAAATTAATCGGATATATATTGCCCCCATGTTGATTCTCATCATTAAGAAAGATCCATCAGGCTCGTGTAAGTATTTTTTAACTAAACAGCACAAGATGTTTATTTTGTATGGATTGTTAATTAAAACATAATTCAATAATGTTATGAAATGAAATTATGTTATGAGTATGAAATATTGTTGTTTTAATTTATGTTTTCGTTTAGTTACAGCACTCGTTGTGCCTGGCAGTCCGATAAGCGACTGGACTAATGCGACTGGTAAGTTTATAATTCAATAATATTTTTTGGCCAAATTTACGTTTGTTCTTTATAAACAAGTTTTTTATTTATCTCGTACTACCTACCTGTGACACAAATTAGACGACCGGCATGGTCGGACACAATTAGAAGATATTCGCAATTCCAACAAGGGCAAAAAAGAACAATTTCTCTTTTAGTGACGTTTCTGGTCCTTTTATCGCACGAGATTAAATTTTTTCATAAGTATTAAACTTTCATCCCTTAGATTTCCATTTTAACTCGCCTATCTTATTGAGAATAGTTCGTAGAATATTCTCTGCGAGTTGTACCTATTTATCTCTGTTAGTTTACGAGATATTCGCGATTGAATGAAATGGGCAAAAATTGCAAAATGTCACTTTTTAGCACTTTTAGTCACGTTTTTTGACCTGTTAATATTGGAAATATTATTATTTTATATTTTTATCTGATAGAGAATTTTCCAATCTTTCGTAATCAGCAATTCGTTGGTTGCTATCGGTTTTAGTTTGAGAGATATTCATGATTGAAAATCGTCGAAAAAAAGTATCAAGCACCCCCCCTTGGCAATTTTTTCTTAAGAATGAAAATTTCATCTCTCAGATTTCCGTTTTAACTATCTTATCTTATAGAGAATAATCCGTAGATTCAAACGCTGCGATCAGATCTTAATTATCTCTTTTGGTTTACGAGATATTCGCGATTGAATAAAATGGGCAAAAATTGGAAAATGTCACTTTTTAGCACTTTTAGTCACGTTTTTTGACCTTTTACTATTGAAAATATTATTATTTTTTATTTTTATCTGATTGAGAATTTTCCAATCTTTCGTAATCAGCAATTCGTTGGTTGCTATCGGTTTTAGTTTAAGAGATATTCATGATTGAAAATCGTCGAAAAAAAGTATCAAGCACCCCCCCCCCCTTGGCAATTTTTTCTTAAGAATGAAAATTTCATCTCTCAAATTTCCATTTTAACTATCTTATCTTATAGAGAATAGTCCGTAGATTCAAACGCTGCGATCAGATCTTATTTATCTCTTTTGGTTTACGAGATATTCGCGATTGAATAAAAAGGGCAAAAATTGGAAAATGTCACTTTTTAGCACTTTTAGTCACGTTTTTTGACCTTTTACTATTGAAAATATTATTATTTTATATTTTTATCTAATAGAGAATTTTCCAATCTTTCATAATCAGCAATTCGTTGGTTGCTATCGCTTTTAGTTTAAGAGATATTCATGATTGAAAATCGTCGAAAAAAAGTATCAAGCACCCCCCTTGGCAATTTTTTCTTAAGAATGAAAATTTCATCTCTCAGATTTTCGTTTTAACTATCTTATCTTATAGAGAATAGTCCGTAGATTCAAACGCTGCGATCAGATCTTATTTATCTCTTTTGGTTTACGAGATATTCGCGATTGAATAAAATGGGCAAAAATTGGAAAATGTCACTTTTTAGCACTTTTAGTCACGTTTTTTGACCTTTTACTATTGAAAATATTATTATTTTATATTTTTATCTAATAGAGAATTTTCCAATCTTTCATAATCAGCAATTCGTTGGTTGCTATCGCTTTTAGTTTAAGAGATATTCATGATTGAAAATCGTCGAAAAAAAGTATCAAGCACCCCCCCTTGGCAATTTTTTCTTAAGAATGAAAATTTCATCTCTCAGATTTCCGTTTTAACTATCTTATCTTATAGAGAATAGTCCGTAGATTCAAACGCTGCGATCAGATCTTATTTATCTCTTTTGGTTTACGAGATATTCGCGATTGAATAAAATGGGCAAAAATTGGAAAATGTCACTTTTTAGCACTTTTAGTCACGTTTTTTGACCTTTTACTATTGAAAATATTATTATTTTATATTTTTATCTGATAGAGAATTTTCCAATCTTTCATAATCAGCAATTCGTTGGTTGCTATCGCTTTTAGTTTAAGAGATATTCATGATTGAAAATCGTCGAAAAAAAGTATCAAGCACCCCCCCTTGGCAATTTTTTCTTAAGAATGAAAATTTCATCTCTCAGATTTTCGTTTTAACTATCCTATCTTATAGAGAATAGTTCGTAGAATAGCCCCTGCGATTTGTACCTATGTACCTCTTTTAGTTAGAGTTATATTGTAAGTTGTTTGTTAGCGCCTTAGAACTTGTTGCGCTATGAATTGTAGTTATTTTAGTATAACATGCGAACGTGGCATCAAACTAAGTTCGGAATAATTTCTTCTGACGCGGAATTTAATTCTGTATCTCCCTGTATTGAAATATATTGCGAGAAATTTTCGTAGCGCGAGTTATGTTGATAGTTGTGTGTATACGCACTAGTACTCGTTGCGCCGGGAATTGTAGTTTTTTAGTAGAACACGCGAACGCGGCATCAAACTAAGTTCGGAATGATTTTCCCTGACGCGGAATTTAATTCTGAATCTCCCTGTATCGAAATATATTGCCAGAAAATTCCGTAACGCGAGTTATAAAGATAGTTGTGTGTATACGCCCTAGAACTCGCTGCCCTAGGTATTGTAGTTTTTTTAGTATAACACGCGAACGCGGCGTCAAACTAAGTTCGGAATAACTTCCCCTGACGCGGAATTTAGGTCTGTATCTCCCTGTATTGAATTATATTGCGAGAAAATTCCGTAACGCGAGTTATAATGATAGTTGTGTATATACGCTCTAGAACTCGTTGCTCTAGGTATTGCAGTTTTTTTAGTATAACTCGCGAACGCGGCGTCAAAGTAAGTTCACAATCATTTTCTCTAACGCGGAATTTAATTCTGTATCTCCCGGTATTAAAATATATTGCGAGAAAATTCCGTTACGCGAGTTATATTGATAGTTGTGTGTATACGCACTAGTACTCGATGCTCTAGGAATTGTAGTTTTTTTAGTATAACACGCGAACGCGGCGTCAAACTAAATTCGGAATAATTTCTCCTGACGCGGAATTTAAGTCTGTATCTCCCTGTATTGAATTATATTGCGAGAAAATTCCGTTACGCGAGTTATATTGATAGTTGTGTGTATACGCACTAGTAGGTACTCGTTGCTCTAGGAATTGTAGTTTTTTTAGTAGAACACGCAAACGCGGCATCAAACTAAGTTCACAATCATTTTCCCTGACGCGGAATTTAATTCTGTATCTCCCTGTATTGAAATATATTGCGGGAAAATTCCGTAACGCGAGTTATATTGATAGTTGTGTGAGTGTGTCGTAGTACTCGTTGCGCCTGGAATTGCAGTTTTTTTAATATTACACGCGAACGCGGTGACACAATAAGCTCGGAATAATTTTGCCAGATGCGGAATTTAATTTTGTACCCCCCTGTTGTATTCAATTATATCGCGAGAAAATTCCGTATCGCGAGTTATATTGATAGTTGTGTGAGTGTGTCGTAGTACTCGTTGCGCCTGGAATTGCAGTTTTCTTAATATTACACGTGAACGCGGTGACACAATAAGTTCGCAATAACTTTGCTTAGCGGGCGAATGCCTTGTCGTAGGATAACCGTTCTTTCAAATTATAGATATTTAAATTCTTTTTAATTTTCATATATAATTTGTAGGTTTATCTCTCGGGAAACCTACAAAACTGCCGTTTTTGTTTTGTTTGGTCGTCGAATTTTTTGGTTTTTAGTGTTTAGCGGGCGAACGCCATGTCGCAGGACAACCGTTCTTTAACCAAATTATAGATATTCGAATTGTTTATAATTTTCATGTATAATTTGTGAGGTTATGCCCCGGAAAACCCACAAAAATGCCCTTTTTGTGTTTTTCGGTCGGCTAATTTTGTGGTTTTTAGTGTTTAGCGAGCGAACGGCGTGTCGAAGGACAACCGTTCTATTACCAAATTATAGATATTTAAATTCTTTTTAATTTTCATGTATAATTTGTGGGTTTATCCCTCGGGAAACCTACAAAAATGCCTTTTTTGTGTTTGTTGGTCGGCTAGTTTTGTGGTTTTTTTGTTTTAGCCGGCGAACGCAATGTCGTGGGGCCGCCGTACTTGCACTAAATTGTACAGTGCCTTGAATGGGAGTCACTTCTACCGCTACCTTCGCACGGTGCCCTAAATGGGAGTCTTTATGGACCCTGTAAGAATAATTAATTGAATTTGTGTATACGTATTTATATTTCATTTACATAAATATTTTCCAGTTGAATAAAACATTGGCTATTTCTGAGATGCCCAAGTTTATCAATAAGGAGCAAGTGGAGAGGTTCCGTGGTACTGGTGGTATGCGAATTGAGGATGATGTTCTGATTACTGAAGATGGATGTGTCATCTGGACTAAAATACCAAGAATGTATGTTATATTTTGGCAATTTATAATATTTTATATTTTACTATTCTGTTATTCATTCTGGTTTATGTTTAAGAAATTGAAGATTGGATTGCCGGTGTTGATGATGATTCCAAATACGATTGAATGAATTTAAAACATTTTGAAGCGGATATTGATATCATTTTAATGTGTTTTGTTAAAAGGTATAAAAAGAGCATTATCGAATTGCTTATTATTATCCTGTTTTCATGCTTATATTGTTAAAAATGCTGTATATATTAAGAAATTGAGTTTGTGACTCTACATGTTTGAATAAAATTGTTGTTTTGTATTTTTAACTATAAATTTTTATTGTGCTCACAACTCAGCTCACAACATCGTTTCTCCTTTAATTATTCCATAAATCCCTTAAACTTTAATGGAAATGTCACTGCTAGATATGAGAAATAGTTCAAAATCAATTATATATTGTATCAATATTAATTTAAAAACGGTTTCAGTAGTGTCATCTATCCACGAGTAACAAAACTACGCCGCTATTCAAGAGATTTAGCCTACTGCACTTTCTGCGATCCTAATATTCAAAAGAATTTTGTTACCAATTTCAATGATTTCTCGACAAAATTTGTCGAGAAATTTGCTGAAATGTTGCTGCTCATCAGTCTTGTAGTATTAGGAACGCAGAAAGTAGACATAGATAGTTCCCGCCAGATTATTATATATATTATTTCAACTTGTTTGAAAATTCCAACTTTTAATTTCGACCATAAAAAAGAGAAATCTTTTGCCATTTTTTAATAAAATCTTTTCTTTAAAAATTTTTTGTGCCATTTTGATGATTTTTGAATAATGATGCCACCTTGTAGAGAATTTTTCAAGGATCAAGATTATGTAGTTCTTAATTTTCTAGCCCTCTTAGTTGTCGAGATCCTTCAGAATTTGAAAACCGAATTTTATGAATAAAGATTTTTAAAAATTCAGTTTACCCGCCATTACTAGTTACCGCCTCTTTTATTTACTTACCTCTTCACCCTTTCTGCGATCCGAATATCAAAACCTGAGTTTCGACTGTTTCGAGTCCAAATTTTGTGTCATTTTCGCGGTAACTAGTAAGGTGCTGCCTCTAGTGGCGACGGACCGAAGCTCAAAACTTTCGGTTGTTGTAGTTTTTAATTGATAGATGGCACTAGTATGCACTTTTCAAAATAAATGGTTTAAGGGATCGCTAAATATGTGATCAGGTAGAAATAACAGAAATAATTATAATTAGAAAAACTTAAAAATATTCTTTATTAAAGAAAACACATAAGCATAAATTTTGGGAGTCAATTTGTGTAATAATCACAAAAGTTATTCAAGATAATGATAAGAAAATTTAATATTAACAATTTGATGCAAGAATGGTCCTTCTACGATGTCAGACTCAGGAGCAAAATCCTTAAAACCATCAAAAATTAGTCCTTCGAACATAAAAACGCAATTTTGGGGGTCAATTTGGGAGATAATCACAAAAGTTATTTAGGAAAATGATAAAGGAATTAAAAACTTACAATTTGATGCAAGAATGGTCCTTCTACGATGTCAGACTCAGGAGCAAAATCCCTAAAACCAGAAAAAATTAGTCCTTCGAACATAAAAATACAATTTTGGGGGTCAATTTGTGAGATAATCACAAACGTTATTTAGAAAAATGATAAATAAATTTAATACTTACAATTTAATGAAAGAATGGTCTTTCTACGATGTCAGACTCAGGAGCAGAATCCCTAAAACCAGAAAAAATTAGTCCTTCGAACATAAAATTACAATTTTGGGGGTCAATTTGTGAGATAATCACAAACGTTATTTAGGAAAATGATAAAGAAATTTAATACTTACAATCTGATGCAAGAATGGTCCTTCTACGATGTCACACTCAGGAGCAAAATCCCTAAAACAAGCAAAAATTAATCCTTCGAACAGAAAAATGCAATTTTGGGGGTCAATTTGTGAGATAATCACAAAAGTTATTCAAGATAATGATAGGGAAATTTAATACTTACAATGTGATGTAAGAATGATCTTTCTACAATGTCAGACTCAGGAGCAAAATCTCTAAAACCAGAAAAAATTACTCCTTCGAACATAAAAATACAATTTTGGGGGTCAATTTGTGAGATAATCACAAACATTATTTAGGAAAATGATAAAGAAATTTAATACTTACAATCTGATGCAAAAATGGTCCTTCTACGATGTCACACTCAGGAGCAAAATCCCTAAAACCAGAAAAAATTAGTCCTTCGAACATAAAAATACAATTTCGGGGGTCAATTTGGGAGATAGTCACAAAAGTTATTTAGGAAAATGATAAAGAATTTTAATACTTACAATCTGATGCAAGAATGGTCCTTCTACGATGTCAGACTCGGATGGAAAATCCCTAAAACCATCAAAAATTAGTCCTTTGAACATATAAATGCAATTTTGGGGGTCAATATGTACAATAATCATAAAAGTTATTTAGGAAAATGATAAAGGAATTAATTACTTACAATCTGATATCAGAATGGTCCTTCTACGATGCCAGACTCAGGTGCAAAATCACTAAAAACAGAAAAAATTAGTCATTTGAACATAAAAATGCAATTTTGGGGGTCAATTGGTACGATAATCATAAAAGTTATTTAGGAAAATGATAAAGAAATTAATTACTTACAATCTGATATCAGAATGGTCCTTCTACGATGCCAGACTCAGGTGCAAAATCACTAAAACCATCAAAAATAAGTCCTTCAAACATAAACATACAATTTTGTCAATTTGTGAGATAATCTTAAAAGTTAGGGCACCGTACGAAGGTAGCGGTAGAAGTGACTCTTATTCAGGGCACCGTAGGAGTGTAGCGGTAGAAGTGACTCTGAATGAGGGCACTGATGCAGAACTCATCGGACTCCATAGTACGGCGTATACTGTAAAAAATAATTTAAATGAAATTATTATTATATATATATATATATATATATCTTTTAGTTTAGAATATATTTACTGTCAAAAATCGTGGAAATAAATTATCAAGCACCCACGCTTGCCCATTTTTTAAGTAAGGTAGATGCACCAGTGCCACACTAGGCACCAGTAGTGCACCATTTCTACTTTGATGAATCGACAATTCGCCGGTAAGAGCATCGTCAGGACTGTCCTGACAGTGCAAATAGACTAAAACTCTCTCAGTTCAAAATTCATCTACAAGTAAAAACAAATACATATTAAAATTAATGAATATGTCAGTTTTAATTTGCATTGACGTCACTCACTGTTCTTCCGTTATCAACAAAAATTTCACATTAGTAAGAATTGATACTTATTTTAATAAATTAACCGTTGAATAAATAAACAATAATACCAATTCGACATATTAGCAAGCGGGCGGTATCCGGCAGCCATGAATATTAGCAAAATCACTCAATACCCGATTCCATGAGCGACAATTCAATAACTGTAAGCCACATGGGCTGAAATTCATTGTCGTCCATGTCACTATCATATTAACATCTAAAGAAACACGATTAATAACTATGCAGATAGACTTACAAACAAAACACGTGCTCACGACACCACCGCGCACTACCGACTAAGCAGGAAAGAGAATTGATAGCCGACGTAAACATCTAGCGGGGGACACCAGGTGGACATATAATAATCTGGCGGGAATTGTCTATGTTATTTCAATTCGTTTCTCTGCTAATTCAATTTTAATAATAAGAATTGTTCAATTATGTTGTTAGATTTAAAATTTTAAATCGCTTATTTAAGTAATTATTTTCCTAACATTCCGATTCAGATTTTAATCTACTTCCTGAATCCGAAAACAGAATTAGAAAATTCCATTTAGTTCGGAAGCTGCATTTGCTGAAATAAAAGATTTCATCATAAAAAAGGCAAAAGATTTCTTTTTCTTATGTCGTGTGCTGTTTTCATTAAAATTTGCAAATAAGGCTTAAAGGGTTGATGCTAGCAGAAATTCACACTATATTCGACTCAAATATTTCGAAGGGATAGGAAGAAAAGGCTTTTGAGATGCAATTTGTCTCTCCTTCTCTCTCTTGAAGACCAAAGGACAATTTTTAGGAGTTGTTAGAATTTAAGAAATGTGTGAGTTCAGAAACATAATTCATAACTCAAACATTATTAAAATGAACATAAAAAAAACATATCTTCATTAGACCAACATTTATTGGGACGAAATATGCAGATTAACATAAATTGCAATGTTCATCAACGATCCTCAGTTTCCTCCTCACTCCCATCTTTTGGCATTGACATATAATCGCAACATATTGATTGTTTGATCAAAATTTCCTAATCAGTGCGCTTATTAACATTAATCAGCGCCATTGCACCAAATAACAAACGTTTCCGCTCAATTTGACATCCAAAAAACAAACATCGGTATAATCGATGACACACTACAAATACGGATCAAGGCATCATGTTGGCGTAGGTTTTTTTAAGACATTACAGGTATTTACACATCGTCATCTCGCGATAACGCAACATCGAATTCATACAAATATACGTCATACAAATATCGCCACAGTGTTTCTGTGAATACGATTTCGTGTACAAGTTCGGCATCGTTACACATGAACATAAGGAACATTATCATGTCATCCAAAAACAATCTACAAAATAGTAGGATTCATGTTTGTGATCTGTGATCAATTGTCCTTCAAAAAATGTGCGATTTTTACATGCGATCCGACTTGATTAGCGTTTTACTGGCATTTTCATTTATTTACTGTGATAAGAAGCTAAAACGTTACGAGTAAAGCAGTTATGAAGTAGAGGCGACGCAAGAACAATGTTCTAGACGTCGTTGAGTTTATCCTGTCATGAAAATAAATACAATATTAGCGTGTACTGTAAAAGCAGAAACTGAAAGTGGTTCATTTTTCCGGTTTAGTTTATGCTAGTTGGGTTTATACATGATGCTTGTTTGGCCCCTGGGAGAATGTTAGGACGAACGCGAACGAAATGGCAGGGATTTTCGTACGGCTAAACATCACACAGATTTTTCGTTCGCGCGTCGCGTTTAGACCTTTGTAGTTTTTCATTTCTTTGCAAGTCGCATCAACAAATGACATTTGTACGAATATTGATTTGCCCAGACATTCGTTATTCATGTTATCGTCTAAAACATCCAGTCCATCCGCGTTAAAAGTTAACTATTTACAATTCGTCGCCGATTAAATTTTAGCTAATACGTTAAATAGATTTTTTACAATATTCTCGTTACGCATTACAAGAGGTTTAAATACAAAATTTATATGTATGTATACTAGATTAAGTTACGTGTGTTTTTTTCTTCTTCGTTAAGTACTTCAGTAAGTTTCGGCCGCAATTTTTTGTCATCGCATCTCGAAAGTTCGCATATTTATAGATAATTATCACACCAGCAAAAATCTTAGTTTTGATTCGGATTTTGCTGAAGAGTTATTTTATGTACAACTTCAAAGCACTGTTTTTTTAAAACAAGTTTTCTTTCGTTGATGGTTTCGTAGACTTCTTTGAATCCATCGATGGCGTTTATGTTGGATGTGAAGAATTAGCACTGGTTTAAATCACACTTGCACTAGAGATAAGTGTCCACGTAGCGAATGCCGTGCTGGAAGGCGGGCTGGCTGGCGCGCCGCCCCCGTGCTCACCGCCATCTAACGGCTGCTATGCATGCCGCTACCACGAGGAAGCTGGGCGGGCCCGCGGATAGCCACACCCCGCGTGAATAATGCAGTTCTTCATTTTTCAGCACTTCGTTTTCATTCGGATGTTTATCATATTCAACTACAATCAAAAAAAAATTAATTATCATATAATTACAGTTGATAAAATAAAATAACTTACCGATTTTCTTCGTGGGTTTTCTCGTTGACGTCGTTTCCGTCCGCGTGACATAATGCGGCGTTGTCGAGGACGTCGTCGGTGGTATTCGTGAATATGGCCGCATAGGCCAGCTATGCGACGTGAAGGGCGTGACATAAGATGGCCGCATCGTAGTTGAGGTTATGTTGCGTTCATCTGCGCCACAACAGACTTTAAAAACAATTTTCATATTGTTTGTCGAACATCTCCCGCCGATTCTTCGATGTAAATCTTCTTTTGATGAGGTTGCTACACAGAGAAAAAAAAAACGTTAAATTTAATTCACCACACGCTGCGTTTAATCAGTTGAGGGTAGTAAATTTCATTGTTTTCATATCCGCGGCGGAACTGACCACCAACTGCCCGTTTACCAGGTTTACTAGGGTGCAGAGATTAAAATCAGCGGCGTAATTAAATAAAAGCGGTCCACGCTTTCCAATGCCCCCCTTCAACACCACGCGTCACAACACGGTAGTAACAAATTATCAACGCGTGCGATACACGCTTTTACAAATTACAAGCCTGCCTTGCAAATGATAACAATCGTGCTCCTTAAAAGTCCTTAAACTTTTCATTTATCACAAACGAACCATAAACCACCGCGTACAACTAAGAATTAAAACCCATTAAACCGAAATTAATGTGATCTCTGATAGAACAACCATTAGCAACTGCACTGACCCCAGAGACCTCACCGAACGGAAATAGCCGATTATCCTAATTAATTCCGACTTCCTTCCTTCTTACGAGAATACTTATCTACATATCGTTTTAAATTAATTTTAAAGCCAAATGGTGATTTTTTAAGGGAAGGTTCAAATGTAACTTACATATGAAATAGTAGTCCTTGCCAGGGAGGAACTCCAACCCACCCGGTTGTGGAGTGAATGGGCGGAAAGTGATCGTGAAGTACATGTGGCGGTAGGGCTTGTCGCAGATGGCGATGATGCGCGGATTCGGGTTGGTGATGCGGCACGTCTCGTACTCCTCCTTGGAGACGTTGTAGATGATGTACTTTTCGGCGTCTTCGTCGAACGTGCCCGGCATGTACACCGGACAGATGATGTTCACCTGATCGTATTCGAACTTCACGTTGCCCTTGTTCACGTCTATGATGTGATCTGTGTTGTCTATTCGAAATCTGCAACAAAAATATATATCTAGAATTCGGAGACTAAACTCTTGTAAAATGATAAACATAGTTTTATTTAAGATCAAGATTCCAAGATGTCGGATTTTCACGGGGGGTCCAAGCATTTATGCAGCGGATATATATTAGTGTCAATTGTAGACTGTCAACTGTCATTGGAATGCACCTCCCGGAGACAATTGAAGATCACGAGTTTTGAGTCCGGGCGCAGATCGGAAGACAACGCCGAGATACCGCAACAAGACACAAGACAAATGAACACCGGCCCGGCCAGCAACAAGCGCGCACAATAACAACAATGAGACGAAACTAAGAAACTAAACCGTAAACAGATTAGATCGTGAGTCCGGCGAAGATGCGCTCAAATCCGGCGAGTTAAGGTTTTTAAATCTAATGAGCAGCAGCAGCGGCGAAGTTCGTCTTCTCCTGGACGCGGGAATTCGATAGAAATCAGCAGGAGAAGAATGCCAACATCAACAACAATGAGAGGAATGTTAATATTCTTAAATGTCGCAATAAGAGATGTTTGGTATAAATCTATATTGATATATACCGAAGATAATTGAATGAAAAGAAACTTAAATTAAAATAATGAGTCTGGGTTGCCAGTCCAAATCCCAAATTGGTAATTGGATACCACCCTCAAGATTTCCATTTGAATGTTATAACATAATGTAACATGTGGAAGAGTGGAACCTCTCATCAGACAACGAATCGTATTACAAATTAATAATAATATAATACGTGAATGAATCAGCAGAAACTCGAAAAGTTATTTTTGATGTTTGATCACATTTGAGGTTAGGTATTGAGCGCTGGATGTCGTTGGAATATATATATACGCAGTGCGTGTTGAAATGTTTCCGCGCCCTCATTCAGATGTCACTCCAGTGCATTGTGCGCACGCATTCGTTGCCATCCGTTGTTCGGCGCGGTCTTTTCACGCTTTTGTTTCAGCCGTCGAGGTGCGGACGCGACGGGAAGCAGCCACACCGAACTTTTCAGGCCCCGCGAGACGTCGAGAGGCGCAAGAATGCATTCATCACACCTTCGGTGTTTCAGCCCTTCATAAGGGCAAACCGGAATGATGATGCAAGTACCAGCATCGAAAGACGTAGAAAAATTTGTATGCCGCGCAGTGATTGAACGTCCTTCTTGATGAAATGCAACATAATTAACTTCCTAACATACCGAGAGATTAAAAGAAGAAAAGAAAAAAGCGCGTGCGCATGTTGTATTAGGTGGAGACTTGTGTGATCACCAGGTAGATGTGTTCTTCATAGAGGTAAGAGACGCTCATGACCGCATGCACGTTGTAAGACCATTAATTATTGGATAACCAGTGCGAGGAGCGCACCGCGCGAGGCCGTTAATTATAGTGTTAATGAACAATGGCGAACAATGCGCGCTATTGACTGACCGACGGCCGAAGACGCGCGCCGCCGCCGCCGCCATATTGGAAGAGGTGTGAAACGCGAGTGGCGCGCACAGCATGCATCGATAATTACAAGCCATTTCTCAATGACATCCGATCGTGGCGAAGCGTCATCATCATCATCATCGCGCACCTCTTTTGTAATGCAACCACACTCTTAATTCTAATTCCATCTCGCGCAGGAGAGGATGAACTCCTGAGAATTCAATTAAAATCATTGCCTGCCCGTGCAAAATATCACATCATTAGGTTGTCACTCCGGATGACTTCCAAACAACACAGCAATGTTCGAATGTCAACGCGATGTGTGCCCCGATTGCCATCGAACCTTATTAAGCGCGCGGTCAGAAGCAGTCGGTTGAGGTTGAGTCGAGTTTCCCAGAAGTCGGGGAGCCGGGCAGTCGTGATTTTTCGATGAGTCAGTGCGCAATTTGCATCGGCGCACACAATGCACGAGGAAAACTTTTCAATTCGAGCGTGCACATGAGCATGCGCATGAAAACAAGAGCGCCGAGGAGAAAAAAACAACAACAACAACGTTGGTGAACGAGCGAAAGAGCTCAAAAATAAAAGAAGCAAAAAAAGGGCTTTCGAGGTGTATGTAGATGTAGAGTGAGTGGATGTGGAGTGAGTTTGAAGTAGTTTTGAATGCTCGGTTGGTTCGTTGGCTCGCCGTTCGCATAATCGGCTCGCGGATCATCGAGGTGGAAATTTCATTCACTTAATGAGTAGTAAACGACATTTAACTGCGCTGCGAGCGCTAACAAAACCCGAATGTGCAATTTTTGTTGGTTTTACGCGCTTTTCCGCCCGGGAGTGGATTAAATCTCTTCAAAAAGAGCTTAACTAAGCGTTTTATGAGTTTATTTCATGTGAGTGTACGTATAATATGCACTACGTCCACTTAATACTTGAAAGTAAATAAAAGATAAATGTTAAAATCGTGGAAACTGCTAAAGTATTAAATGTATAATTGCACACCATATTAGAATAGGAAAAGTGTAAGTGTCAATTAAGGTTAGGTAACAAACATAACCCTAAAGTAGGAATGTCACATAATAAAATTGTTGTTCGTTAGGAAATGGAATTCCAATAAAAATACCAAAGGAATAATATTACTCATATATACCTGAACATTGTCTCTAATTAATAAGACGTATAATAAAAGAAAATATTAATTTAGATAATATTAGAATTGCTAATGAAAAAATAGTATATTAAGTATCAAGTGGTTAAATGGGAGCTTTTGTCAGGCGCAAACCCAACCCCGTGACTAAAACCAGTGAATAAAGTACTTTAGTCACGACCTTGGCCGTCCATGTATAAAGTACCACTTTTTGTGTCTCAAAACCATAAGAAAGACGTTTTAAAGATGGAAGTACCAAAGTGCTGTTAATATAAACCGTACAATCCCTAAATTATAAGTAATATCATAGAAGTGATATTCCAGATTGTAAAGAATTTAATTGAGGATTAAAAAAAGAAGAAATCACTCAAATCGCTTGATCGACAGTTTAATAACAGTGATTCAAAGTAAAGCGGTAGTTTCCTCGCTGGAAACACAATCGCCGACGAAAATGGAATAACACTCGGTATAATTTCGCCGTCCCGGAGACGTTTTTGTATCACAGAAATAAATTACCTATTACTTATTAGTTATTAATGACCGTATGACTGGAAATAGCTGGCTTTGAAGAAAAATCGCTGCGTCAAGCAGCACGCCGATGACGATGGCACGCGAGTCCAGTTATCGGCGCGATCAGTGCTCCTCTCTCACCAACGTGTGCCCCGCAGCCTCCCCTCCGCGCCACGTCGCGATCTTCTGATTAGTTTTTAATTAGTATTTATAATTAGCGGCCGCGTGCAACAATATGTCATTAATAAAACAAGATTGCGGCACGAATCGTCTCTAACTGTGAAGTGCAATCCTTCAATGGCATAAAAAGCCATTGTGCAAATCAATTCGCACCGATGGTGTGGAACTAACACGATGGCTTTCTACCTTCTGCGAATTGAGTTGCTGGAGATGTGATTGCGGACCTATAATATAACAGTACGAGTTTTGGTAAAGAAATATCTAATTTATTAATGATTTTAACTCAATTTACTTAATTACGATATTTGAATATTCATCGATTCGGGGGCGGTTAACTTGACTTAACCCCCGATTGTAACCATGAACCTCTCAAGTGGATGAGGGCGTAACGGTGAGCGTCATTAATTCCGATCGTTTCTTGCCGCCCGAAATTCTAATTGAAATCCTGTTCTCAGTCGTATAGAGTCCAGAAATCAACGCAAGAACTCGGGGGCAATTCAGCAGGAAACCAATTAATTAGAAATCTAATTTGCATTTTGGTTACTGCATTCGGTGTAACTAATTCGGACAAAATCAAAATTTATTTGTTAAAAAAAACATTTTTTAAATTTTTTTTCAATACAAAATTCAATTTTTTTAAGTCATGTTAGTTACATCATTTATAACTTAAGAACCACTGAACAGATTTTGATGATCTATGATTTGTTAGATTCATCTCCATATACACCCTTAAAGGGTGTTTAATAAGGGATGAAAGTTGGTAAAGCGCTTCAATTATATTTATAGCTAATAAAAATGAGTTTTTTCGTTCATAATAACCGATAACTATTCCAAAACTCATAAAAACCTACCCAGCTGATTAATACCGACAACAATAATGTTTCCCCGCTGATTTTCCGCGAGTTTTTCCCTCAATAGCAAACATACCAAATAGGAAGCGCGCGCGCGCGATTGAATTCAATTGAATAGGATCCTCATTTTTAACGTTTTGCATTTTGCGTTATGCGTGTTTCCAGGTAAAATATTTGACTAATTAAATATCAAAGCTCGCTGGCGCAGTCGGTGTGGGCGCGCGAGGAAGAGAGGAAGAGCGTAATGATAATGATAATACCCGCAACCGGATTACGCGCCATTCATGCGCTCGCCGGCGCTCGCGAGAATAAAATAATAATGACGGCGGGCGGCGCGCGGATTATTGACGTCATTAAAATGGGCAAAATGGGAATTTCCACGATTCGCACCAGCGTTGCGCCCATCGTAACATTTTTGCGCGCATATTCACATTCGAACGCCAGCGCGGACAATGCATATTCTCATACCTTCGAAATGCTTCATCTACTATTGAAACCAACATATGCACGAAAAAACTGTTTGCAGTAGAAAATTTTTCTGAATAATCCATGACGCAATAAAAAAATCATTTGTGATGTGAGAGTGCTTTCATTCATTTTGAATGCGGGTATTCAAAGGGGATAAAAAAAAGTGTGTGCTGAGTGGGAAACCAGACAGTGGACATCAGAAAATTAGCAAAACTCAAAAAACGTTTTCCAGTTCTTTTTTTTTAACATGACCACTACTCTTCATTCTCTGTTAGTAGTAGAGTATAACACTGGAAAACAACTCGTGATCTTAAACAACAATTTTTTTTTAATTTATAATTTTGTTCTAAACCGGTTTGATAATTTTATTCGAAAATAATTCTTAACACCTTGCCATAGTCTACCAACCAACACTGAAGAA